CAATAGATGTAGGTGCATTGTGAAATTCTCTTTCGATATCAAAAAATAACTCCAAGGTCATGTAATGCAAATTCCGTCAATTTGACAGTTTGATATGCAAAATGGTTTGGTGTTCATCGGGACGATTTACCTTTTAAGTACGTTCAGTACCGTTTCGATTACTTTCAGTAAGAAATATGTCAGGTCGTTAGGTAACTGGTCGTCAGACGAGCTTTATGGAATCCGGTGTAATTTGCAAGAATATGTTAAAAGTATTTTCCCTTCGTTATGAACGACTTCCCAGTCCACCTTCCAGGAAAGCACTTTTGTATCAAGAGCTCTAACGTTTTTTTTCTCTCTAGAGGTTGTGAATATCATATTTCAGCAGACGGCTCTTTAGAGAATCATTAAACTTTTTGTGTTGCGAAATATATAGAACATACTTTCACAAAACTTCTTCCAGGGCTCCCGTTTTACTTTTCTATATACTCGTAGTAGATCTATAAATCTCTCACTCAACTGACTCTTCATTTCAATTGAATAGTCGCCGAACCTTTTACCTTTCAACTTGTTACCCCAAGAAAAGTTTCAATTGCATCTTCTGATTGTTGGTGGCCTTTTTCGTGATTGGAAGAAATCACTTAATCGCGAAATTGTTCCACCACTGTTCATTTGCAGAAATATTTTCTGTTTCTGTTCCTTCTGTTGAACTTTCAGAAAATTGAGAAATAAACAACGAAAACAACTAAGAAACAGTTGATTAGCAATACACTGCATATTGAACTTACTGATGTTTCCTTTCACGATATCATGAATTTCATCGACCTTTTTTTTCTTCTCGTCGTATCCTTGTCGTCGTATCCAGAAGACCCAAACAGCGAAAATGCAATTATCTGCTTCAGCGCCTCATGCTGATCGTAATCCCTGTCGCCTAACATATCTGCCATGAGTTGCTGATATCTGGTGGAATTCATGTCGTTTTCAAGATTCTTCAGTAAATCTTCTTGGCGTTTTTCTTGTTTTAAAAACTTAGCCACATTTTCCAATGACTTATAGAAGTCAGCATCTAATATATTCTCATCGCTTACACAAGCATCCGTTGATGTTCTGGATCAGCAAAATCGCGCATAATTGGCATCGAATCAGAACGCATACCTGTAGAAGGTTTGATTGATTCAGTGTTTCTTCCAAACCAGCGTTAAAATTGGTATCCTCTACATCCCAACCAAGCAAGTAAACATTCTTCTTCAATGTTTCCTCAACCTTTACACAGTCATAGATTTCTAAGGAAGATTGTTGATAATTTTTTGTTTCCGTTATGATAGATAGATATATAGATAGTTTATTTGACTACGTATATGGAATGAACATTTGTAGCAAAGCAGGTGATAATATTAAAATAACATTTAAAATTGAATAATACCTAAATAAAATAAAGAACATTAACACTATAATAACGAAAACACAAGGCACCCAATAGGGGGACCAACATTTTTATTTAATGCAGATACAGCAGGAGCACTTTTCGATGAGAAACATGTTTAATCATCGTTTGGAAATTATTTACTCATATTCTAATCGGATAAATAATCAATAGACAATGAGTATAAGCTAACTTTTGAAAAAACATGTAAGAAGGCTTTCTGCCATTCTTCGTAACTTTTCGAACTCTAGGGGGAAAACATATTTCACATTAATTTCAAGAGCAAGTTTTAGTGTCTATATAAGATCGTTTTTTATTATGATGAGCGGCAGAACTAGTTGTATCATTCGGATGCAAAAATTGAAGATCTCTCTTTCGATTAATTGTTGATGCCTGACATCAGAAAATTATAATTTCTTTAAAACAAACTGATATCGAAAAAACACCCTGAAAGTAAATCATCAATTTTAATGAATTCAAAAGGCACACATATTTGGGAAAGAAAGTTTTTGGCTTTCTACTACTCCATCTTGATACAGAAACATGTGGGAATCTTCCAAAGAAAGGAAGGAAGTAATCAATTTTAAAAGAAGTAACTGTATACATAGATGTGTAGATCATGCAAAGAAGTAACTTTCAGACACAAATCTGGCAAAAAAAGCATTCCTGAAACAGCTACTCCCATATAAACATTGAATTACACGAAAGAAAAATTCTTTCGAAACAAATACTTTCAATTTTTCTTTCATATGAAAGTAGCTGTTTCAGGGAGGCTTTTTCTAAAAATATAACCCTTTCAAATGCACACATTTATTTCCAAAAAAATTGAAAAATATTTACTTAGACCTATTTTAAATCTACAAACAGAAAAATGGAATATTTTTCTTTGAAAACAGTTCTTTTATGTTCCTGCAGGTGGATTGGGGTGGACAAAGTTAGTTCCCTCTATACCTCTCCATTCCAAATACTTAAAAAAGTCAACTTGATCTTTAGCGGGAGGAGACATGCTTAAGAAAAAAAAATCCATTGCTGTGTTCAGAATTTGTGATTGTGTCGTAAACATGAGATTTGTGAAACACCATTGTATAATTGCATTGATCAATGATACAGTGTGGAACTGAACTTTATCCAGCAGACCCTTCTTCCTCAACTTTCTGAAGCATGAAGAAGCTGACTGAACATGCATAGTGGCAGATGAACTATGAGAGATACGAAGATGGTTGAATGGGGGCAAAGTTGCGCATTTAACTGACTAAAAACATGCCGTTGAGAAAGTTCTGAAATTTTTAGAATATCTGGAGATATCCGAAAAAAAAACAGAAATTTCAGAAAATGGTTTTTATTTTTTAAATGTCGATTCTCGAAAAGACTATTTGGATGATCTACCTTTGGCTAACTATAATAACATCTGGTTTCAACATGAAGGTGCTCCACCGCACACTACTAGACGAGTATCCAATTACTTGACTGAAAGGTTCAGTTAAAATGGATAGGGAATAATGGGCCGGTGAGGTGGCCTGCAAGGTCTCCAGACTTAAGTGTTATGGATACATTCTTATAGGGTACACTAAAAAATAGGGTTTATGGTCAGAGGAAATATCAAAATATTGAGGGCCTTCAACACAGCATTGTTAGAGAGTTCGGAAGATTGAGGAGAATGGAAATTAATCGTGTTTCTATCGTATTTGTAATGAATTTGTTTCATATCTCTTTTTTCTTCATTCGTGGAAGCCATTTTCCGCCAAAAATTCAATGACTTGTACAATAACAAAATTTCATTGAGTGTAACAAATTGAAAGTCAAATTTAAAAACATGAAAGTCAAAGCCTATTATGATAAGAATTTTTTTTTCAATATCTCCAATTTTTCGATAAATAATGATAACTTATGATACATCATTGAAAAGGTAAAATCTGGTTCTATTCAAAACAGAAAGAATCCAATGTAGCGCCCATAAGAAAACATAAAGTTGATGATGGTGGCCGGAAGACGAAACGTTGAATAGCAAATCTGAAAACACCATTATGTAACAGGGAAAAGTGGCAATGTGGAAGTGCAATTTATTTTCGAATCCTCCAAAAAATGAAACCAGAAAAAAATAAAAACCAGGTCAGCGGAAAGTTTTGCAGGTCGGGTCACCTAGACATAAATCTCGACCAGGTTGATCATTTTCGACAAAAAAAATTCAAACCCCCACCCTCTGAGTATGGAAAAATCCCACATTCCTCGTTAAATTGAAAATAAACCTTGCAGGTCGGCAGAAGTTCTTGCAGGTCGGGTCTGCCAGACATTAATCTCGATCAGGTTAATCATTTTCGACATAAACATTTCCCAACCCCCATCCAAAAGTTTTACAACTCTTAAAAAATTGGAAATATATTTTGCATGTCGGCGGAAATTCTTGCAGGTCGGGTCTGCCAGACATGAATCTTGACCAAGTTGATCATTTTCGACTAAAAAATTCCAACCCCCACACTTTGAGTATGAAAAAATTCCACATTCCTCGTTAAATTAAAAATAAACCTTGCAGGTCGGCAGAAATTCTTGCAGGTCGGGTCTGCCAGACATGAATCTCGACCAGGTTGATCATTTTCGACGAAAAAATTTCATCCCCCACCCAAAAGTTTCACAATTCTGAAAAAATTGAAAATACATTTTGCAGGTCGGCGGAAATTCTGCCGGTCGGGTCTCCCAGACATGAATCACGAATAATTAGAAAAATTTTTCATGCGGAAATTTTTAACTAACATTTCTATTGAAAATTCATATTGTTAGATGATAAATAGCGAGACAAGTGGATAAATATGAATGAAATTCGCATTTCGAATGAAGATAAACTTGATAAATGTTGTATAAAATGAATCATCAAATAAATTGAAATAATGAATTGAACAATGATGGATTAAAATCAATCATTGTTCAAATATATAAATTAAGATGGAATAGGATTGTTCAGAAGTTATCAATGAACATATGAAATACAAACATGAATTGTTTGTTCTAAATTTCTTGTCTGTCTTATATCATCTAAAAATGTTTGTTTGAGGAATAGAAAAATATGATAAATATAGACAAGCATTATTTGTCAAGAGTCAACAGACTCTTGAAGAAAAGTTTTTTATGGCTCGAAAAGTGGAATGATGAACGAAACAATATACAGTGCTTTTCAGATAAAAGTATCTACCTTTAATAACTTTTGTAATACTCGTATTTAGGAAAAATCCAAAAACACGTCAATTTATGTTGGAAGGGGCAAGCATTATGGCTTATTTAAACTTACTGGAAAAGCCACCCCCTCACCCCTAGCATCATCCCTTTTTTTTAA